ATACAGTAAGCAAGATTGTGTAGTATTAGCTTAAGACACATTAATCAATGGAGTAGAAAAAAGAAAGGGTCCCCTATAGTCATAAATGGTAGGATATCCAAACAATGAAGGGGTCCCCTGTGGCCATATCTTGGTAAGAGAGCCAAACAATGAAATATTATCTAGTATTAAAATGGAACAAACTTCAGGTATCCTATATAATAAAACCCTAATATGCAAATCGACCAACTGGTGGAATGACCAGTTACTATGATGCACACTGACCAGCAGGGGTTGGATGCTCAATGCAGGAGTTGCCCCTAGTAGTCAGTGCACTCCCACAAGGGGAGAGTCACTCAGACAGAAGCCCTGGCAGGCGGGTGGTAAGGAGCAAGGGGTCCCAGACTGTGAGAGCCCCTGACTACGAGGGGTGTCTGACTGCCAACTGAAGCCTGATCTCCCTAAGCCGGTAGGCTGAGATCCCCCAGGGAGTTCCAGACTGCGAGAGGGCCCGGATTGCCTGCCAGGCCAAGAGTGCACTGGACCTCTAGTGTATGTGTATAAGTGTGTGTGTAATCTACATATATACTACCTCAACACTGCTGACAAAAAGAATATTCAATATTCTCTTTATGTGGAATAAATCTATATACACCAGTCTATACAATAACACTGCAAAGTAGGCTATGAGAAACAGGTAATTTTGAATTATAAATGAAACTCAAAATTACCTAACTTGATCTATTTATTTTACAGAAGTTTACATAATTTATTTCTGATATTTAGAAAGGTTAGGTCATTAATGGACACCTGACTTCTGACTCTTAGGTCAAAATCCTTCCTAGTTAACCTTGCATTTATAAACATGTGTCACTGAATTCTCATGGGTAATCCCAGGAGGTGCTGGGTTATATATTTATTTTTCCTGTTATGGATGAGACAACACCAGGCAGACAAATGAGGAAGGTTAATTTTGCTGCATTAATCCTCTCATTACAAAATTATACTATTGTAACTAACAATTATACCAGTGTCATGATCATACTGATTAACCAAACGAAGGAACAAAAGTCTAAAACAGAATGTACATTGCTGAGCTCTTTTTAAATTAATGAAGAGAAAGAGTTAAATGTAGAGTACTCAAGCTAGAATTGATAAATTAGAAGTATTTTGGGATCCCTAGTTTTTAAATATTGAATAAAATTAAGCTTTAAACAGCTCAGAAAATATGCCTGGATTTCTACTTATTGCACAGACTTATTTATTTTTACTGATTTTTAGAAACATCAATGATGAGAATTTTATCCATTGTCGGCCTCCTGCACGCCCCCTACTGGGGATCAAGCCCGAAACCTGGGCATGTGCCCTGATGGTGAGATTTTGGTTCATGGATGGATGCTCAATCACTGAGCAATACAGGCCAGGCTGCACAGACTAATTTAAAAAGTTCTATATAATTTACACACTGAGGGTACATATTATCACAGTAAGTTTGACAACTCAGTAATCTAAGTCGTCTTTTCAGTATAATTTTCTACAAGAAATCACATTTAGGATTTTCTAATAAATTCATTTATGCTCATTGACTTAAAAACTTATAACTGACTATTATTGTCACATAATCCCAATAAAACGGTAATATGCAAATTAACCATCACTCAGCTGCACCTACAGGTCACACTATCAGGAGCGAATATGTAAATTAACCCAACCAAGCGACTTCGACCACAGAGCGAGCAGGAGGCTTGGGTTTCCCCAGCAATGTAGGAAGCCAAGCTTTCTGCACACTCTGACCAGCTCAGGCCTCCACACAAGGCTACCAAGTTCAATTATAGAAGATTCCGTAAATAAATCCCAACAAAAATGGCTGCGGCAATGGAGGGAGCAATATGCTTGGCTCCGCTCAAGGCTACAGTTTTAATTATAGAAGATAAATGAATCCCAGATACCAGGGCCTCCTCTTGGGTCGATGTGGGGTATGGCTGGCCTGCAACCATAACAAGCCCCTAGCCCAGGCCACCCCATACTCCAAGAGACCCCCCACCCTGATCCGGGACACCTTTCAGGACAAACCAGCTGGTCCCCACCTGTGCACCAGGCCTCTACCCTATCTAATAAAAGAGTAATATGCATATTAACCATCACTCCTCTACACCCATCAGCCACGCCCACCAGCCATGCCTACCACCCAATCAGAGTGAATATGCAACTTAACCCAACCAAAATGGCTGTGGCCACAGAGAGCAGGAGGGAGGCTTGCGTTTCCCTGAAATGGAGGAAGCCAAGATTTCCAAACACCCTGGCGGGCCCAGGCTTCCACTCAAGGGTACAAAGTTTCAATTATAGAAGGTAAATAAATTCCAACAGAAATGGTGGCAGCCACTGAGCTGGAAGAGTAAGAAGCTAGGGTTGCCCCAGGTGATGAAAGAAGCCAAGCTTCTGCAGCACTGGTCAGCTTAGGCCTTCACTCCAGGCTACAAAGTTTCAATTATAGAAGGTAAACAAATTACAACAAAAATGGCTGCCACCATGGAGCAAGCAGGAGGCTTGGCTCCGCTCCAGGCTATAAAGTTTCCATTGTAGAAGATAAATAAACCCCAGATACCAGGGCCTCCTCTTGGGTTGCCAGGGGGCGTGGCCGGCCTGCAAACCACTACAGGCCCCGTGTCCAGGCTGCCCCACGTCCCAAGGGAACCCCCACCCTGATCTGGGACACCCTTCAGGCAAACCAGCTGGCTGCCACCCATGCACCAGGCCTCTATCCTATCTAATAAAAGAATAATATGTAGATTGACCATCACTTCAACACACAAGATGGCTGCCCCCATGTGGTCAAAGATCCTGTCCCCATGTGGATACAAGATGGCCACCACAAGATGGCCAGCAGGAGATGGCAGTTGTGGATGATCAGGCCGGCAGAGGAGGGAAATTGGGGGTGACCAACCAGGCCTGCAGAGGGCAGTTGGGGGGTACCCAGGCCTTCAGGGGAGAGCAGTTAGGGGTGACCAGGCCTACAAGGGAGGACAGTTGGGGGTGATCAACCATGCAGGGGAAGGCAGTTGGGGGCAATCAACCATGCAAGGGAGGGCAGTTAGGGATGACCTGGCTGGCAAAGGAGGGAAGTTGAGGGCAAACAGGCCGACAGGGGAGCAGTTAAGCATCAATCAGGCTGGCAGGAGGGTGGTTAGGGAGTGATCAGGCTGGCAGGCAGAAGAGGTTAGGGGGAATCAGAAAGATAGGCAGGTGAGTAGTTGGGAGTCAGCAGTCCTGGATTGTGAGAGGGATGTCCGACTGCCCGTTTAGGCCCAATCCTACCAGGACCGGGCCTAACTGGGCAGTTGGACATTCCTCGAGGGGTTCCAGATTGGAGAGGGTGCAGGCTGGGCTGAGGTACACACACACCCCCATACACGAATTTCGTGCACTGGGCCTCTAGTACATAGATAATGTCCTATGAAATTCAAATAAACAGATATGCTGCTAATTTTTGGCTAATTAAATTCTACATGCAAATATAATCATATTGCATATTTACCAAGTGATAATCATGTGAAAGAAATCATTAGAGGCCCCCAGGTTCACATTACTTCAGAATATTCAGAATGGTTATTATGTATTTAAAATAAGTAAAAGCACTCTTTTATTTCTTCAGTTGATATTTAATTACAGTTGATATTGAATGTTATTTTATATTAGTTTCAGGTATATAGCATAGTGGTTTGACATTTATATAATTTATGAAGTGATCCCTGATACATAGTTATCACAGTACTAGAGGCCCAGTGCACGACATTCATGCATTGGGGGCGGGGACGGAGGGTCACCTCAGCTGGGCCTGTGCCAGCTGTGCCCGGGACCCCTTGGGGGATGTCTGCCTGCCAGCTTAGGCCCATTCGTCCCTCCCTCCTTACTTCCTGCATGCTCACTGCTCCTTATTGCTCGACTCGCTGCTCCTTAGCGCTGCCTCAAAGGCAGGAGGCTCCTGCCACTGCCACTGCCACTGCGCTTGCCAGGCAGAAGCCCGGCTTCTGACTGAGCAGCACTCACCCTGTGGAAGTGCACTGGCTTCCCGGGGGCAGCTCCTGTGTTGGGCATCTGCCCCTGATAATCAGTGCGCATCACAGCGACCAGTTGTTCCGCCATTCAGTCTATTTGCATATAAGCCTTTTATTATATAGGATTATTGACTATCTTCCCTGAGGAATATGTGACTATTTTCATACTACTAATATCTATTCTTAATCCCTTCAAGTTTCTCACCCAATCCCCCAGCATCCCTCCCATCTGCCAACTATCAGTTTGTTCTCTGTATCTATGAGTCTGTTTCTGTTCTATTCACTATTTTGTTCTTTTGGATTCCAACTAAGTGAAAATCACATAGTATTTAAAACTAGCTAGTATTCTTATGTAACTCAATGTCATTAACTATATGATAAATTTTCTTAGTAAATTTTTTAAAAAAATCTAGAACACTAGATGAGGAGACAAAGTCAAAATATCTGAACTATAAGATTTATTTTCTGTCACAGAAGAAATAATGTAACTTCTCTGTACTTAGGTTTGCTTAGTTTTCAATATAAATATATATATATATATATATATATATATATATATATATATATACACACACACACACACACACACACACACACACACACACATATAAAAAAGCACAGAGATTGGAGAGTGTAAGGCATGGTGCAGGCATAAAAAAGGGAAATGTGTTAAAAGTGCCAACATCAAAAGAGGCATGTTTGGGTTATTAAACTGTTTGTATGCTAAAATGAAATATTAACATATAAATTTCAGTTTTTATTTTATTATATTTCAGTAATATTGTTTTCAGTATTTAATCTGTAAAGACTGTCACTCAAGAAATTATATCAAGAAGAGCACAAACTTTAATAAAAAAGAGATTACCTTTATATAAGTAACAAAGAGCAATCAAAGTCAGATTTCTTCATTCTTTCTCGATTTCTGACTGGACATGGAAGATGAGGGGTGGGAGACAAGAAACTCACCTTTGCCTGCAGGCTGAGGCACTGCAAATCCAGGCAATAAGAAGGGCGCCCCTGTGGTAATACCAGCTGGTTTCAGTTCACTGACACCGTAGGTTGTTAGGGACGTTATCAGATTAACCAGATCTTTCAAGGCATCTTTGGATTCTGCCTCTTTTGCTTGTTCCAATCTAGGAAGAGTAGGATTTAGCAAATATTTTTTCTAGTTATATTCTCATATAAATATTAATATAGAAATATTCAATATTGATATGTCATAAATAAACATATCAAGTGCTCCAAAAAGTATCTTCTTGCATTTTTTCCCATATTAAAACACATTTTTTAGAATCTACAAATTTTAAGACATTATGGTATATTTGGAAAAATACCCCAACAGTTTGAAGACCTGATTGGTATCAGTGCTGATTTTGCCACTAGCAGTAGTGCTATTTTAAGTAAATCATTGATCTTTGGTAGAAAGTGTCTATAAAATAATTAGATTAAATATCTCTTAATTTCCCTAAAGATCTAAGATAATAAAGTTTCATTGTTTACAAGAAAAACCCTTATTAACTATTTCTTTCCTAAGATATTTTCTCTGCTACCAATTTTAAAAAATGAATTTCTTGGGGAGCATTCTAACACTTCATCTGTATTTCATTAATTCAGGTATCCTATTAGAGGACATTTAAATAAAGTTCTGAGAGGCTAACGATTTTTTTTAAAAATCTTAATTACTTTAGAGGAACATTAGTCATTGTAGAATCATCATTGATTGTGGCTTTACTGAGAACACAAAATGGGGTGCAAAATATAGTTTTTAAAGAATAAGATTTACTGGGGAACCTGCCAATAGAACTAATTACTCAGATTAAAATAAACTTGGAGGATGCACAAAAGTAGAAAAAAGAAAAGAAAAGAGAAAGTATGCTTAGCCTAACACTTGAAGACCTGTTAATATTCTGATTTTTTTTTAAACTTGTCTTTTTTAATGTGGAAGTTTTGTTTTAATAAGTTATTTTCATACCATATGTAGAATTTTATAACCTTTTTCCCCCTCCCATTTTCTAGTGTTATCCAGGTTTCTCTATGTTAGTATAAACTTTCCATACATATGATTTTAATGATCGTGGAGAACCAACCACTGATTTGGGGAGAGGGAAGTGGGACAGCTAGTGAAACACAGAGTAAAGCAGCACTAACATACAGAAAATGGCATCTAAACTTAACATTATATCTTTAGGATACAATCTTAAGAGACATTATTGTGTCAAAATAGTGGTTATTTTGAGGCTTTTGATAATATCTGGTCAACCTGTGTTCTCAAAGGTTTGTACCAATTAATAACTTCTTACTAATATGAAATAGTTATTTCATCAATTTTCAGATGTCCTCATTTGTAAATTATGAAATATATGCAAAATTATATTGGGGTTTGCCTAGTATTAAGTAATGGTATTTTGTAAATAAAATGTTTAAAAAATAGTGCTTGTTTACAATAGATCAAATGCTTTAAAAATAACAGATGACCCAGGGTACAACTAATGAGGCATGAATATCTTTTTCCTAGAATATTTGTAATCAGTCACTTTCCATGTATGCATGGAACATTTGGTATGGAAAAAGGGGTAGTGAAACATTTTAGGTTAACTACTTTGTTTTATATATACATTTGTAAGGTCTCACTCAATCTAAATATTCTTGTTATTAACTACATTAATAACAACCCTGAATTACTAAATAAGAAAAACTAAAATTATAATTAAGCAGCTGGGACCAGTTTGGCTCAGTGGATAGAGCATTGGCCTGTGGACTGAAAGGTCCCGGGTTCGATTCCGGGCAAGGGCATGTACCTTGGTTGCGGGCACATCCCCAGTGGGAGGTGTGCAAGAGGCAGCTGATGGATGATTCTCTCTCATCGATGTTTCTAACTCTCTATCCTTCTCTCTTCCTCTCTGTGAAAAATCAATAAAATATATTTAAAAAAAAAATATATATATATATATAATTAAACAAGAAGAGTTTACACTTCAGGAATGTTTTAATTAATTCATCTAAGTTTTACTTCTTTAGATACTAAAGATTTATTCTTCACATCTAACCATTGATTCTACCATGTTTACAATCTCCATTTACCAATTTAATTCTAAGTTCACTTTATGTATGCTATTTGCAGAAGAGGAATAAAAACAAGTGATTAAAGCCAAGAGTAAATAAAGTATATGTTAAATAAGTGTCTGATTCCTTTTTCCCTAACCATCTATATATATAAAAACCTAAGCAACCATCTGACTGGTATCTATGACAAGCACTGACAACCAGGGGGGAGATGCTTAATGCAGGAGCAGAAGCCACAGGCACCAAAACATGGAACAGACTGATGAATCCCAGAGGGAAGGCGGGAGGGTGGAGAGAGGGAAGAGATTAACCAAAGATTTTATATGCATACTAGAGGCCTGGTGTACAGATTTGTGCAATGGTGGGGTCCCTTGACCTGACCTGTGGGGATCAGGCCAAAAGTGGCTCTCCAACATCCCCTGAGTGTCCCAGACCACAAGAGTGTACAGGCCAGGCCAAAGGCCCCTCGCCCCCTGTGCACAAATCCGTGCATTGGGCATTTAGTCAATTCTATTGTTTCTTTTGATGAAAAAGATTGAGTAGATATTTAAAATATATTCTTGAAATGTGAGGTTTTACCTAAGCAAGAGGTCACAAAGGAAAATATATCCTTGCCATATCCGAAAATCATCCAAAAGAGTTTGGGAAACATCACTGGAATCTTTGAGGAAACAAGAAAGCCCAGCAAACATTTCAACAATTTCTAGGGGAGATAGGTCATCTGATTGCTGCATATTCTGAACACACGTAGATAAACATTCTTTTTCTGTAGGAATAAATAAATAATAAATATGCATTATTTATGGCAACTGCTTAAGAAAACTTTCTTGTTTCTGAGTCAGTGTTTAATAAAACATTAAATTTAAATTATCTATAAAATACTGTAAGATAAATGTTATACTTTCTAAAAGTAAATGTAAGACTCAAATTCATTGGGAAAATTCTGCCTCTAATTAGCAAACAAAGAGTAATAAAGGAAGTGTTGAAAAGTAGTTGACATTTATTATAGTTTTTAAATCATTGTTTGGATGTTTTATCGTCAAACAAAATGAGTGCCTGCTGCCAAATTATATTTTTGATCTTTTATGTTAATAGAGTAAAAGGATGAAAAAAGTAAAAAACTGTTTTTAAGTTTAAGAAGACAAATCTAATAATTACTTTAAAACTCAAATTAGAGTAAATCTAGACCAATGAGATACAGAACTACTAAAGGAAACATAATTTTAAAAATTATGTTTGTAATATACTGCATATTACTAATTTAAAAGTTATACTCCAACATTTCATCTCTTATCTTTAATGAAATTTATTTGTCTAAAGAAACCCAGTTTCACATAACAAAAGCTAAAAAGATTCAACATGTGAACAGAGGCAAAAAAAAGAATTGACAATTTCTCTTTAGTGTTGACAAAGAATCCGCATAGTAAATTTATTTATGCCACATAAAACAAATTAATATCTGTAAATAAGTCTATGAAATATCTTAAGACTTATTAACAGATATTAAGCATCTCAAAAAAACTTTTTATTTCTTCAGTAAAAGGGGGGATAGATTTTTTTTAAAATAAATTTTTATTGTTCACATTATTACAAATGTTCCTTCCCCCCACCCCCTTCCATTGCTCTCCACCACCAGGTTCCCATCCCACCCTCTGCCTTTTCCCCACCCCCATTGTCCTTATCCATAGGTGCACAGTTTATGCTCAGTTTCTTCCCACATCCTCCTCTCCCCTTTTCCCCAAGAAAAGGGGGGATAGATTGTAACACAAAACTTGTATATAATTGAATATTTACACAAAAATAAAATTATCTTAACTCTTGTACATATCATTTGTAAGAAAATTTCTTAAATTTGAAATGCTTCACAATAGAAAAATAAATATTTTTTTTCTCTTGGCAACTTTCACTTTTAATTATTGGTTGATGGATTTAGAGAGAAGAGGGAAAGAGAGTTGGGGGAGGGAGGAGAGAAAGACAGAACGAGAAACAGACCTGTTCATTCCACTTATTTATGCATTCATTGGTTGATTCCTGAACATGCCCTGACTGGGGAGCAAACCTACAACCATGGCATATCCAGAGGATGCTCCAATCAACTGAGCTACCTGGCCAGGGGCTGGCAAATAAAGTTTTTAATTTAAAGAATCATCTTTGGAAAATTGAGAGATTAAAATAAATCTGTCATCATCTGAGGAAGAGAAAAGTGAAAGAAATGTAGAGCACCTAGAATGAATAAAGAGATATTCACCATGGATATACTTCACTACATTGACACTAAGACCGTGACGGGATATGGTCATAAGGACTTCTCCAGCACTCTTCCTCCAAGGCAGGTTATAAGGCGGGCACCAAGAGGTTATTGCACTGAATAAAAGCTGGAGATCATCTTTCTGAGCCAGCTCCTCCGCCGGGGAAACAAAACTGCAGAGTTTCACTAAGATCTAGACAAAACAAAACAAATGTGTGTATAAATGAAAGGTTGGGGAAGGGAGGACTCAGAAAAGGACTAGGTCTGACCATTAAAGACTCTGAAAGCTCAGGGTTAGTATGAGCAATACCATTAAAACCACAATGATGAGCTCTCTAACTTCGACAGCATTAACAAAAAAACAACTATAATTTAGAAGGGTGTTACAGTAAAGACAGTTACCCAGCCCTACTTTTATCAACTTATTAAAAATGTTCTATGTTTACTATTTTCTTTCATCATGTATTTTTGTATACCTTGCCCTAAGCTGCATAAACCAACAGTCATATTCAAAGTCAATGTTTCAGTTTTCTAGTTTAGTTCTTAAATTCTTAGTTTGTCATAGCTGAAATGCAAGTTTCTTCTCTAAAAAGAACAGTTTTAATGAGTTGAGAAAGAAAAAACAGTAAAACAAAGTAAAAGCATTTTCAAATTGTTCTAATTTCTAGTATACAGGTAGAAGGGGATATTACAATAATAAAATCATCTAAATTCATAAGTAACTTTTAATTATGTCTAGTAGCCAAAAATCTTCTTAAGCCTATCTTTCAAGGAAGATTCAAAAAACTTCTTAAACTCTGGAATGAGTATTTTTGAATTATGAATTACAAAATACATAGTACTCTGATGTCCACAGCATTAAAGGCCTGTTACTTGGGGGGATTTAGCTATGGTTTCCACCCTCAAAGAATTTTGTTCTTCTAATTTAAATTCAGTGGCAGGAACAGTTAACTTTCCTTCTCTGTGGTACACTTTCTCATCTAAATATTTTTAAAAATATATGTTAATAAGTATAATTTATGAAATAATTTCATTCAACTGAAAGTGCTTCATGAAATCTGGGTATTTCATTATCTGTGGAGAAACTGCTACTTAGAAAACAACATTTGGTACAGCTTAGGGAATATAATCACTAATACTGTGATGACTATATAGTGCCAGGTGGGTACTGAAAATATTGGAGATAGGAGACACTTTGTAAATATCTGATTGTTTAACCACTATGCTGTATACTTGAAACTAAAACAAAATAGTATGAAAGTAAACTGTAATTGAGAGTTTGCAAAGATATATTTGAAATGTAATGGTTTGTCTGAGAAAGGTAGGTCTTGCTTTTCCTATTCTCTTCAATGCAAAAATCTAATTAAATACAAGAGCTTTCTGCCAAGACCGGTTTGGCTCAGTGGATAGAGTGTCGGCCTGCGGACTGAAAGGTCCCAGGTTCAATTCTGGTCAAGGGCATGTACCTTGGTTGCGGGCACGTTCCCGGTGGAGGTGTGCAAGAGGCAGCTTATCGATGTTTCTCTCTCATCGATGTTTCTAACTCTATCCCTCTCTTTTCCTCTCTGTAAAAACCAATAAAATTTATTAAAAAAAATAATAAATAAATAAATAAATAAATAAATAAATAAATACAAAAGCTTTCTAAATCATAGATGCCAAATATCAAGAAGATAAAAAAGGATTAGGAATTCAGACAATATATATATATAGAAAACCAGTAATATAGGCACCGCACACACAAAATAATGCCTGGAGATATTGTAGAATATTTAATGCCCATTAATATTTAATGCCCATTAATATATTTTCCCATATGTATCAAATAAAACATAAAGCTAAAATGGGGGGGGGGGAAGATAGTTAATTGCAACAAAGACATATGCTCAGAAGAGTGTATTACTGATTTTACTTTTCTTGGGTTCTCACATTACCCTGTCTGAGAGGGATGAACAATTTCTCTAATTTGCCAAAAATGAAATGCTTATTTCTAGATCAATTCTGTATTCTCAAAAATAAATGGATTTAATTTCTTAAAGTTATTGACCCTTAAGATAATAGGTTCTTAATCTATAAAGGCAAAAGTATTCTTACAAATATCCAATACAATCCTTTCTCTTGACAAACAAGAAAACTGAAGGCCTATGTCTCCTCCCTCTTTGTCCAGCACTACCATTTCTATTTGTGGGGACTCTGTCACAAAGTCCAGCCACTTGTGGCAGAGCAATAATTGGCTCCATCAAGGCAAGTGAAAAAACAAAACAAATCGAACAAAAACCCACCACAAAAACCAAGTGCCTACATGGAGCAATACCAACTGCTAAGGGCCCAGGAAACCATCTGTCACATAATATAAACATAGGAATTTAATCTATCAAAAACACTATGTGTTCTGAAAACATGTGGTAAGTTAGATATTCTAGTCAAAATGATGAAAACAATGTCCAGCCTGGGAAGAGAAACTAAAGAAGGAAGTGGCCTGATGCACTGAAGAAGCAAGGGGTGGGGGAGAGAGAGGAGTTGGGAGAGCCTAGTCACACCAGTCCCATCCTGCTGAGAATCACAGCTGGGACACCATCTTTCTGTAAATGAGGAGTTTCATTTAAATGCTCCCTTCAGGCCTTCACATTCAATGATTCCAATATGCCAAAATGAATCTTACATTTAGTTTAAAGCACCCACTGTTTTCAGGTGTAGAAAAATTTTAAGTTTTAGAAATTTTTGCTATACTTATTTTCTATTAAAAATATACAATTCTGAGGGTGGTAGTCAATCAGGGAAAAGGGAGACATATGTAAAACGTTAGACAATACACACATACACACACACACAATTCTGCCCTAGCTGGTTTGGCTCAGCAGATAAGAGTGTTGGCCTGTGGACCAAAGAGTCCTGGATTCGATTCCCTCATGGTCAAGGGTATGTATTTCGGTTGCAGACTCCTCCCCAAGCCTGGGATCCTGGTCAGGGCTCATGCAGGAGGCAACCAATCGATATGTTTCTCTCACATCAAGTTTCTTCTCTATCTTTCCATCTCTCCTCCATTCTCCCTAAAAAAATCCCCTCAGGTGAGGATTAAAAAAGAGAGAAAAAAAAACACAATTCTGATTCCATTTATTGCCTAAAGCATTAATTCCCTCTTTAGAAGGGCTTTATTGAAACAGGGCAACTAATCTAATCAACACTGTCTAAAAATAGCTTTAATTCCCAACAGGTTTACTCATTCATTTATTCCCACTGCTTTTCTCATCCATTCTAATTCAGGAGTCACATTAACCTGCATTCTAATCCTATTCTGCCATTTGCTCTCATTGCCATTTTGGGGGAAAACAACAATTCTGAAGTCATGGGCTATCTTGCAAATTATGAGGTAAGGGTTATTTAAGTTCATCACTAGCACAAAAGTATCTAATAAGTCACGTGTCCAGTAAATATTTGCTGAACTAGTATTTTATTATCCTGCCTTTTTCTTTTTAACACTCCCACTCTCATCCTTTCATGGCTAGCAACTCAACAGAGTGCAGTCATTCCTGCAGTAAACACCCCAGTTACATGGGGTGCGATTGTCATCTGGACTTACTCTGCCTTACCTGCTGCAGATGCACTATTCCACTTCCTGGTGGTCACAACAGCACAATCACAGATACTTTCATTTTATATCTACTCTCTCCTAAGGGAGAACTGTAGATTTGTGTATTATTTCATTTAATTTTCACAAAAACCCTGTAGGTAGGTATCATTATCTTCATTTTACAGGTGAAAAATCTATATCTTAGGTGATATAATTTCAGAGAACTGACTATAAGCAGGAGTGCGGATTTTATTGAGGTGAAAACACATAACATACAATTTACCAACTTAATCATTTTAAAGTATAGAGTATAGTGGTGTTTAAGTATACTGTTACACAACACACATTTAGAACACTGTCATCTTGCAAAACTGCAACTCTATACCAACTGAAAACAATCTGTTTCCTCACCATAACCCCTGTCAATCATTTTATTTTCTGAGTTTGACTCACTTTAGATTCATGTAAGTGGAATTATTTGTCTTTTAGTGTCAAAATGTTTTTTTTAATACTATATTAGGTCCCCTGGGCACATTGTACTTGAAATGTTTGTAGTTTGCTTGCTTTGAAAATTTTCTCCCAAGAAAGGCTATCAAAATGATGGCAATATTTCCAGGCTAGGTAGCAAAGGTCTACTTAAGTCTTTCTTAACCACTAATGCTATTAAAGGAATGGTGGCCATGGTGGGAAAGAAGGAATTTGCAGGCAAAGAGCAGAGGAGATAGCAGCAGCCACTAAAATAAACATCTTTTATAATTTAAATATTGATATTTAGGTATACAGGGACTTCCTGTACATAGACAGCAACAACAACAACAAAAAAATCTCTTGACATTATAAGAAATATTATACCAAATTTAATGATTACCAACAAAAGTTTTCCTTGCTTGGTTCATTTCACAGATGTTATTGGTAGATCAAAGGTAACCTTAATTGTTGACTGTGTCCAAAAAACAAACTTGTTAATGCCTCACATATTTCTCAAAAGAAATGTGCAGATCCAACAAATGTGACGGTTACATGAGATAAAATAATAAACAACATGAAATTCTACAGGAAACGGAACAGGCAACACATTAATTGAAGGAATGCACCTGTCTCACTTTAAACAGGCCAACAGCCCCGTCCATACCTGTACAAAAACTTTCTGGAGTAGTCCACGACGTTCTGCTAGAGGTAGCTCGTTCTGTGCACCTCCAACTGCCTCAGGCACATGTGGAAGGTCAAAGAACAGATATAAACATTTAACCAGGGTGGAAGGCACTGACATCGTTGTCATGCAGTCCACGGTTTTCTGGAAAACAAATCAATCAAGAAATGAATAGGTAAATAAGCAAAAAAGACATCATTGCAATTGGTACAGCTAAGAAGGTTACAAGTTTTAAGCTAGAAGCTAGATCATTAACTCCAAATGTTCAAGCAGAAAATGATATATAAAAATAAGTTTTTAAATAGCTGAAAAAATTAAAAATGAATGTGTGCTGACAAATACTTATCTCTTGAGATGTGTTTATTTGTTATTATTAAAGTATTAAGTAAGTTTGCTCTTTATTAAGGGGTAGTATGTTTCAAATAATATAAGCTCTGGTATTTAGAAAAAGGAAATTAACTATGAATCTGGCAACCTAATTTTGCTGGACCGCACTTTCTTCTCCTATAAAATGATTAAAATGGTACATACTTTTTAGGATTAATAGGATTGTGTAAGATAACAAATGCATAGACATATTAAGTACTAAATTATATATTAGTAGTTGTTTTACTATCACTGTAATGTTATTGTTATTGTAGATTCTGGGGGCTGGAAGACATTTGAAGAATATAGCCATCACACAAAATACAATCTCTGTATTCTTTTCAAGGATTTCTAGGGAAAGAAATTCCAGACTTTCCATTGTAAACATTTTAGTATTTTAAAGAAGTATGCTATAATAATTACCAAAAATTTTCCATGGTGCAGTTTTGAATAAAAAGGTTACCCATGCTAGAGGTGAGCATTTACTGAATGCCTAGGGTATGTCAGGCACTGTGCTGGGGGATGGGCATGTGCCCTTGACCTTCAGAAGACCCTAGTCTACCAGCAGAAGCAGGCTCATCAGTAACTGATTTATCTCATAAGAGTCACAGTGAGAGGACATACTGGCTAATATAAAAGGGAAGCATCAACACTGCCAGGAATGGAATAAAAAGTGTAGGAATTAAAATCTGAGGGGAAAGATCACTTGGAAGATACAAAGAAGATTAGGTCACATAATACAATATGTTTCAGGAACCTGAATCCAAAACTGCTGACTCTTCAAAAGCCACAATAATAATGTCATTTTTAATAAGTGTTTATTATACTGGTATAATGGGCACAAGGCTGAACACTTTAAACTATTATCTCACCTATTCCTCACAATATCCTGATGAGGAAGATTCCATTACTGCCTGATGCCTACCTTACAAGGGAAGGAATTGTGGCTCATCACTTACACACCCTGCCTCAGGTTAAGTGGTCTGCACTGTACCAGTATATGTTAAATGACTTATGCACAGTCTCCCATTCCAGTTTGATTTTTATTTTGTTGGCACTGGAAACTCAATGAAGTGTTACAAATAATGAAGTAATAGAACCAGATTTCAGAGATTAAGTGGGTGGAAATGTAGATCATAAGTAAGATTACAGAGCAGGAAGGCCAGGTAAATTATTAGGAAACAGAAACAGAAAACCCTATGAGATGGGACTGAACTAATGCAGCAGCAATATGATAGGGAGGAGAGAAGAAGCCTAAAGAATATTCATTGCAAGATCCGGCATATTTACAGACCTAGTACCATTCCTTACCTCTAATATTCAAAACCTCCCTCCTTTCCTACCTAAACTTATACTTCAGATGTCTCATATCTCCATACATCTAACGTTCAGTTTAAATACCTTTTTGTGTCTGAAACTGTCATTAACTTCTCATCTTTCCTCCTATCCTCACTTATAAAATGTATAAGGCTCATAATTCTATTTTCATAGCACTGCATACATCCATCACCGCATTAGCTTCATCCACTTCATTTGTCACCTACATATTGATTCAGAATCATGTTTTAGTCATCTCTGCATTTCACTGCTGCCAACAGAAAATGGCACACAAACAAAAAAGTCTAAAACACAACACAAATGTTTTTAAAATGTCTCTTCCCAACTAGACTATTGGTAGCTTTCTCTTTCTGTTAAGCAGAAATATATCTTTCATTTTCATGTTATAAATGACAGATTAAAAGTACAAGTTGGTATCCAAACTGGTAATTGGCAACTTCTGTAATTTTAGAAAAGTGATCAGATTTCTCTCCTGATTCTTTTCTCATACTTTTAAGACAATTTATCAATTTTTGCATGTTTCATTTAATCACACTATGTGTTAGGTATTAGGTAGGACATAGTTTCTGTTACAACTGAGAAAGAAAAATACAGCATCAATAGAAAATATGAATAAAACAGAAATATGGCAAATAAAATCATTATTTTACGTTTTATTCTAAACCAAATCAAGTTTCAGTACAGTAATGGAGAGGCATTTATAACTACCATCAACAGCCAATAAAATTGGTATTTTGATAGTCATCTGGTGTGTTCCCAGACACCTGGAAGCAAGGGTCCACTTTAGGGCTATCTGAAAGTTACTTAGGGGGAATAAACTTCTCCACTGAAGGGTTTCTTGGGAAGCGAGGCTTCTCTGCTTAGAAGTACTAGGTAAACCAAGACAAGTTAGTCTGATCCTTTTTCTGATTGAAACACACACACACACACACACACACACACACACACACACACACACGCACGCAAACAAAAAAAGGAAATAATCCATTCCAAGAGGGAAAATGTGCAAATGCTACTTACTCTGATCTACTGACTAGTTTCAGGGTATGATTACTAAGAACTAGCATCATTTGTGTTATTAAGTAATGTGAGGTGTTTAAAAGCCCAATGTAATGTAGACAATAGCCATTCTCAGAGTTGGTACTAACTTTGACAGGTACTGACTCTGGACTGTAGAAAGCTGAATAAATTTACTTCATCCCCAAAATATCACAGGCCTAAAATCAGGTACAAATGAGCAGACATATATCACGACAGATGTTGATACAGTTGACTTAGAGGGGAAAAACCAATCTACAGAATAAATCAAGCGATAAGGGAATATATATATTTTCAGAAATGGTAGTTATTTTCCTTAAAAATTCTAAAAATTTAAAAGTATTTTCCAGGTCACTTATTCGCTAAGTGCCCTTAGCTGAACCTCAGATGATTCACCTAAGCCAGAGTTTCCCTCATGTGGATAAAAGAATTCCTGAGCTGGGCTGATGAAGTCAGAGCTCCTGGGCTAGTCACCTCCAGCCACAGGTGGTCCTTCCTGCCCAGTGTGCTGTGGAAACCGTATGACGCTCTGTGTGTGTTGACGTGACAAAGATGAAAACCACTATTCCAAGTTAGGCATTTCCTCATGTGTAAAATGCATAAAACATAAACCTCCTCATCTGGATGTTGTCAGAAGCATGAAATAATGTATAATAAGAATTAGAAGAATATCATGATTATCATAAAAGCTTATTCAGATATGACAATAAGTTTAATTTTACAAATCCTGAGAGGATAAAAAAAATAAATTTAAAAAAAGAGGTTGAGGTATCAAACATGAAAACAAAGAACTCACCTGACCAGAGGATGCTAACAAGTTAATTGTTGTCAGAAGCATCCAGCCTCTACTGGCTTCTTCACTCTGATTGATTTCTAGGAACTGGACGATGGCCCGACTTGCAGCCTCTATAAAAGCAAAGGAAAAGGCAAGTTATAAGGTGGAGGGAAGGAGGGGAATCACATATAAAGAGGTGCTTCCTTAAAACCTGCGAAGAAATGATCATTTACTAAGCACGCACTTTGTACCAGCACTATTACATGCTCTATGTAAACACATTAAAGAGGAATGTTTTCATGGCACACACAGTATATCATCATATCCTTTGGAAATGTAAAAGTCAGCCTACCTATTTTAGGGGAGGGTATGTCACAAACAAGTCAGAATGAGCCGCCGTGGAAGAGGTAAAGGGTGAACTAAGCCTGCCTGGAAAATAAGTATAGGTATCCTCAACTTTTCAAAGTTCACACTGGGCCGCTGCACTTTTACGAAAGACCTGCACCAGCCCCTATTTTTCTAACTACAACAAATCAGAAAATGATTTTTACTTTTACAAAAAAATGTGAAAAGTGAAAATTCAGCACTTGTATTGCAGCGAGCTGTTCTAGAGGCAGTGCACCAGGCACAGTGAGAGTGACCCTGCTAACTCCTTCCCTGAGAATGACATCCCAGCATCCAACCCACAGCTTTGATCTATGTGAGCATCTGTACTTTATCTTGATTTATTTTGGGCATCCATTAGCAAGATGTGTCTATGGTACTGGAGAAGCCTAAGAGAGCTCGTAAGGATGTTATGTTTAGCGTAAAACTGGACACAATTAAGCATTTCGATCATGAGGGAGAAAATACATTGTAAGTGTGTTGAACTTCATGCAGCCAATATTCATACTATTTAACATGCGCAAAGAATCTTGGAAGCTGGAATCTTGGTTGTGCTAGCAGTAAAGTGGTCTCTTTTAGGGATCATCCAATAATGAATAAAATTGAAATTCTGCTGCTTGAGGGGATTGATGGGTATATAAAGCATGGTGTATATTTATCATTATCATTCCTGCTTTAACGATATGTTAGTGTTATTTTAGGTTTTATGTGTGATTTGATATGATCTGAAAGGTTATTTTTGAAATCTGGGAATGACCAATATTTTTCCATATAAATTAAAAGTAAGTATTTCTTCAAATTATGCCATTTCAGCTTACAAAAGGTTTCATAGGCAAGTTCTGCTTTTGGATAACAGGGAAACCTGCATATGTTTGTCTAAAGAGTGGGGGCCAGTGGGAATGAAACAGAGCAATTAGGAACAGAAATAAAAGTGTTAGCTAGAGGAAAGAGCGTAACATGTACTGATCAAGACAAAGAAATGTAATAATACATTCTAGAAGAGCATATTTTGAGAATTAGATTAGAAGAAAGTCAACAGTAGTGATAGGAAACTGATGCCTTTTTACAGCAAAGGGCTGTTATTTGACTCTTTGGGCAAGAGGGAGCAAATACAGTTTCTGGAACAAATGAGGTGCTTAAAGGATTACCCTAAAACTATTATCTTTAGTAGTAATGTATATGACAAACTGGGAAGGCAGAGACCTCTGGGGGGAACAGATTAGGAAGTTGCCTTCATAATACACATAAGTGATGACTTGAGCAGCTGACAAAAGGAAAGAGAAACAGGGAGAGTTATTCACAAAACTGTGATGTTGCAAGAATCTTTGAAAGTTAATTTAGTTGATTTTTTTTTAGAGATAAGAGGAAATGGATAGATCCTTAACCATATACTTAATTTCATCAGCAGAGAGTTCATCAATTTTCATATGGATAAACAAGATGAACGTTAACTACTTGTATATCTAACTCATTTAATTGTTATAAGAACTATATGAGCTACTTTCTATTATAATACCCCTTATGACAGAAATTAAGAAATGGAGAGGTTAAGTAACTTGTCTAAAGTCACATAGCTAGCCAGTGACAGAACTTACATTAAAGTCCAGACTGTGGGAGACAAAAGATAGTGATTTAAAAATAATAATAATACTGGAAAAGAGGGAAGCCAAAAGATGACTGGGTTATTATTATTTAATATATCAAAAGTGTTAAAGTTATTATTTTCATATGTTCACTGATTTACAACCTCTCACCCCGTTCTAAAGAATAGACAGAAGGTGAGAAATCTCCTTGCCTACCTTGTTCACTGTGAGTCCTCAGTGCTAAGCATGTGACTGCACAAAATGGGGCTTCAATAATTATCTGTTAAATGGATGAATAAACCAACCCAGGTTGATGAAAGAAGGACATACTGAGTTCAACTGGTGATGAAAATAAAGAGGTATGGACTTACTAGGAGTAAGAGAAATTCCTACAAGTTTTGAAAAGGGGAGTAATAGAGAGAAAGCAATGTTTAAGGCTGATTAAATTGTGAAGGTTCATTTGAGAGGGAGAAAATAAAACAGTACCACCGAAAAACCTTCACTAACAATCATGGTTTGAGATGATTGGTAAAAGGTGACCTGCAAATTTTTCCTGTAAGCTTACAATGGACCCAGCCAATTGTTGTTTCTCTTTGATGTTTCTATCCCTCTCCCTCTAAAATAAATTAAAAAATTAAAAACAAACAAATACAAAACATCAAAAATGTACTCTTGGCTTGAAAAAATTCTATTTGATTAATTGCATTTATAGGAATGTATACTTTCTTCTATTTGGGTTGACAATGAACATAAAGGTATTCTTTAAAATAAGAAAAGACAAATAATAAAATAAAAATCCCCACAATGTTCTATTTGTTATTAACCATTACAACAGTTCAATAGATTGCTGAACTGATTAAATAAGGTAATACCTGTGGGGGGAAAGGATCAAAACAGTATAATTATTAATAATATCCCTTTAACAACTTTACCAACTGAAGCACTCTTTTTGATAAAGTGAAGAAGACCTATGTTACATCAGGAATATTGTAAAATTGTATTTTTTGGCTTTGAATTATATGCTTATACAAAGAAGTCTATATGTAACAAAAGTATTTGAAAACATTTTATTTTCACCTACTCTTTTTAGTACTGCCATTCAAAACACCTTTAAAACATTTGAAATAAAAACACTCCAATTAAAAAAAAATTGCATTGGAATCTTTTAATTTCACTTATATATAACAAAAACAAATTTAAATGATGGTTTAATCAAGGTTGTATGTGTTAATGAAAAAAACATTATCTCATATTGCAAGGTGCCAATCATTTGATTCAAGCTTTAGCTTTCACACTGCATTCCAATACATATCGTTAAATTCAAAAAGACAGAAATCGAGTTAGTAGGATTCATTATTAGATTAAATAATGAATAGAATGATAGACAATTGTAAAACAAATTTAAGTTCCTAGTCTATATTGAGAGAATATAAGTGAATTCAATTAGCATTCAGAACAATCAGAACAAAACTTGGTAATAAATGCAATACAATTTTTCCTTTGCAAAGTCCTTTTTTTCCAAAGTCCATTTAAAGTGTAGCCATTTTCAAACTTATGCTTCAGAATGACAATGTGAGACATGCCAAGAGTATTATTACACTTGTTTCAGTAAAGAAGAAACCAAACCCACAACAACCCTTCCCATCTGCCTCCTGACCATCCCTACCCCCCCCAAAAAAATAAATAAATAAAACAAACAACCTTCCATAAGTTAGTCAGAAAAACAGTATTAGAATTCATGACTTCCATGCTTCTTTTCATTTGATGATACATAATCACACCTTGGGAATAAAATTACCTGAAGGTGTTGTGGCTTTGAAATCCATGCAGGACAGCGGGGCACAATGATTTTCTGTTTGAAGAAAAAGGCTGGGTTGTCTAACTGGGGATTCACTACATTATACAAGCTGCTGCATAGATGCCAACTGTAGTCGGCATCACTGGGTTTCTCCACCACTTGGCTGCTGCCCATTTCAGGTTACACCACGGGTTTAACAGTGGCATCTGACATGCATCAAAGTCATTATTCATAAACTAAAGCTATTTTTTTCACAGGTGAGAATTTTCTGCTTTAATGATGAAAACTGATTATATTCCCTTAGAATTAAAATTAAGCACACTGCATGTTGGAACTTAACTATACAAGGTGAAGAAAATAGCTTAGGCTACAGCTTGTAAACAATACAGCCACAAAATTATGTATTTTCTCTAATTAATTGAGTCATTACATATTTTTTAACAAAAGCCGCAGAGTCAGCAATAAAGAAAGAATTAAAGGAGACAGACAACTAGAACTGTGAAGGTTCCTTGTATATTAGAAATCAGTCCATGTATGTTTTGTATATTGATATTACCGAAACATTTCCATTCTTATTAACTCTGATAGATTTAAATTGCAGATAAGCATGGTTCCTACTGAGATATCTATAATCCATGTCAGAGAAAATCTGATAAAGACTTGAGATGTAAGTACTAGGTAGATAACTAACAAAATAACCAGTATTGCACACCAAATTCGGAGGAGTCCTGGAAAAATAATATGACAAATATAGCTATTTTTCATAAAAATAATAGAGCTCATTACACCTGTTGTTTTGGGGTTTTTTGGAGAAAAACTATATGCATATTAATCAAAATAATTACTGTTAATGATAATTTCCTATAAAAGGTTATGTTAAATAAGAGGTATCAAAAGTAGTCAAATTCATAGAAGCAGAAAGCAGAGTGGCGATTGCCAAGAGTTGGGAAGAAAAGGAAATGAGGAGTTGCTGATTGATGGGTATAAAGTTACAGTTATACAGGATGAAAAAGTTCTGGAGATCTGCTATACAACACTGGGCTTTATAGGGAACTGTACACTTAAAAATTTATTAAGAGGGCAGATATAGTTATGTGTCTTTTATCACAATAAAAATTATTCGATCAATCAGAAAATATAGATGGGGTAAAAAGAGTAAGATGATTCAGGATGCACTTAGATCTTGAAAGTACAGAATTGTTTCAGCACAAAAGATTAAAAAAAATCTCCATGAAAGTATTTCTAATAACAGCACTGACCAGAAGAAACTTCCAATGTTCAAGACTAAAACTAAAAGAACCAGGATTCCCAAAGTTAGGGTTCATTAAGGCAGACTGAGGAGACATTCCAAAATTATGCTTTTCTT